TACAGACAAGGTTTTTTTTTTAAATTATTTGTTGTAGATATAATGAGTAAAGGACAACAACAATATTTGCATTTATCGTGTGAACATAATTCAAACCAAGATTACTTAATAAGCAAACTAAATTAAATTCGTTAAATATATTTACACACACACACACACACATAATATATATATATATATAATATAATATAATAATAATAATAATAGTTTATTCGAATGAGTACAATGTGTGGAATTATTAACATATAATGTTAATTTTTATAATTACTTTTAAATTTCTATAATTTAAAAACGATAGTAAAACAACCGTTTTTATTATAATAGAAAATCGATAAATTTATTTATGTTTTGTTAAATTAATCATGTACTGAAATTATTATGAACTTTTATTATGTTGAATTACATAGTTATGACTTAATTAACGTATATTGATACTTACAAAATAGTTTAAATTACAAGTTTTGCAGCCAAATAAATGTTTAACTTTTTTTTATAATCAAGACATTATTGAAATGAATCGATTATTAAACTTTAAAACAAAACTGCAGTTAAACATATTATTATTTTTATAATTTACATTTAAAAATGTATAACATTCTACTGTTATCGAAAGCTAATAAAAATGAATGTATTTTGTCAAGTGTATTCATGTGGTAATAATAATTACAAAGACACAAGATGAAAGCATTAATAAAATTTCACTCGTGACCTCGTCGAAAATAAAATTAACAACATGGAAACTATAAAATGCAATAGCGGTACACATAAAATAAATAAATAATGAACGAAACAATATTAAAAATAATAAAATGTTTATTAGTTGTAAAGACGTTTGGCGTAACCCCGTCTTGCTCAAATAAATTTAATAATGCCTCACGAAGATGTGTATGATAGTAGTATATTATTGATTTTTTTCTTCTATTTGAAGTATTTTAAAGAACAAGTACCTATATATAAGACGTGTCTAGAAAAGTTATACTGATTAAAATTGACATTTTGTGAATTTAAAAAGCTATTTCTTAAATACTGCAAAGTATAGTTGAAGTTTAGTAAAATCGAATCAATGAATGACAAGAAGAAGTTATCGCTAAGTTAATTGGTGAATTTATTTCAGAAATTATTGCGTCGCTGTCAAATTACGTGTTAATATAAACAATACATATATAATAATGCATCAAATATTATATAATAATAATGACTTATTTACAGCCGAGTTGTATGTGTATTAACTATAAAATTAATTCAAAGAAAATATTTTTATGGTTCAAACAAATATGTTCATTTTGTAATTTATGGTTTATGAAACATAATAATTTTCAGATATTAAAAAAATTGAACCAACCATTAAATGTTTTTAATAGAAAAAATAACAAACAAATCATAAAATAATAATTAAAATCAAAAATTGTGTTTCAATGTTCTAATAATCTTTATGTTATTAATTCACTGCTATTTTGGTATAACGTGTCACATAGTAGTTAAAAAAAGGTCTATTTGAGAATTAAGATGAAAACTATGAAAAATCAGTAAATATTAATAAATTCCTGTTCGAATTAAACGACAATACGACTGTAAGTTTGTTAACGTTGACCTAGTTGCCACAGCGTTAAAGCGTAATTTCCTGTACCTACATCATGATAATTCAATTTTGGCACACAATCAATTTATCACACATGTCAATCCATTGCATTATCGATATAAATATATAAAATAGATTAAAACAATTTAGTTTTGAACAAAAAACTATATCAGAGGATATTGAAATGATAATAATAGGAATATATGGAGTGTATAATCATATTTTATGAAAGGCATGTTTGAAAATTTCAAATCGAAATTATAAAGACGCTTTTAAAGAAATAATGAAAAAGGAGAACAATAATGTTAAAACCATAAAACATGTGGTATCTAATTGGTATCTAATTTATTTACTCCACCTACTCTAAAGTATTCATGTATTTATTTTCTTAAATAAAGTTGTGCATAAATCGATTTACGTACCTATAATATTATTAATATAATAATATTTATAGTATTAGATTATTAAAATACATTAACCATGCGTTAAACTGACGGGTACTGAATTGACGTACGAACGATCACTTGACGCGTACACGTCAATTTCACAAGGTTGTAGTTATATATTATAATCAATCGTTTCCAAAATATGATTTTTATTTTTATAGCGTTATATCATACATAAAATGCGTACCATTGTCAGTTTTACTATCGAAGTTCTCTTGGCATTATACAGACTATGGTGAATTATTTACACGCAACGAACGGAATAGGTTTTAATATTATTGTAGGTGGAACTATTTTTGGCAGCAAAAAAGCTGAAACTCTTGATTTGTACTGTCGTAAAGCACCTCTGTAGATTGTAAAATCATCATCGATGGTGTTTTAGACAATTACTTTTTCAACATTTCATGGATTGTCGATTAAACAGTGGAAAAAAAGGCCGAAGAGAATATATTTTTAATAAGCTATTTTAATCACGATCGTTATTGATTAGATAGAGTTCAGCTGAAAATGTTTGTGCGAATGCTTCTTAGTATCGAATAGTAAATAGTTATAGACCATACGTCATAACCATTGACTTTCCTGCACTAAAGTGATCAAACCAATATCGAACCGATTTGATAATATACCTAGCAGAGACCACTGACCAGTTTTTAAAACATTTATTTTTTCAATTGGTAACAGCAAATAGTGGTAATTAAAGAAATGAGAAATTGATTTTGGTAAATTATTATCTTAAACTATAAATTAAATAATTTTACAAAATTAGCACACAGGCTACGGCGATGTTTTGCCTGTCAATGCTTTTTAGGGTTGTTTCTGTTTCCATATACTACTTGAATTTTCAATAAATAAATAACCAATATATTTTTAATTGCTTGTAGACATGCAGTGTCGTTCTCAGAAATTTTCTATCCGGAGGGTTCTGAAAATTTACTCTGTCTAAAAATTTACTCTAAGCCCCCACCCCCGAGTCATAATATTTACAAATTTTGTGTTATTATGTATTTATACCATTTTAGTAGAGACTACCTAGTGAGCTGTATTTGGTGTATCATATGAATATCAAAAGTAAAATAATGCAACCAAAAACTAAGCTTTTCAACATTCATACTTTAATAATCATTATAAAACCATAATAATTTACCAAACATTTCAAAACACAATACTTTCAAGTTTCAATCCATGATCTCTATCAATTCTCTTTACCGTTATACACTACTAACTACTTCTGTAACTAGTCAATTTATAGGCCAACTAGAATAAATATTTTTCTTTTAAAAATTAATTTTTTATTAACCTGTACATTTTTGATTTGTATACCTGTTATACTTATAATATAAACTTATCTGCACAGGGACCAGCGGCCTGTTTTCACGGCCCACGACGTTTCTTTAAAATATTTATTGAAATGACTCCATTTTGAATGATATGTGTAGTTATTAGCTAGGTTAATAGTAGTTAATAGTGAATAGTTTTATTCAAAATTTCAAACAATAGGTACGAAACAATATTTTTGTCACGCCTGCACCGAAAGTTTGGTTTTCGACCACGGTTGAAGCGTTCGAAAGCGTCCTTTTTCCGTCCAGCGGGCGGTAAAGTGGAAATCCCCAAAGTGCCGGGCGGAAAAGAGGAAATCCCCAAAAGTGCCGGGCGGAAAAGAGGAAATCCCCAAAAGTGCCGGGCGGAAAAGAGGAAATCCCCAAAAGTGCCGGGCGGAAAAGAGGAAATCCCCAAAAGTGCCGGCCGCCGGGCGCGTATCCCCTGCACAACCAGAAAGTAAAATGTATACCTACCACGGTTCTTACAAAACATAAACTTTTGGTTACATCTTAAATGTATAGTATAACCTCCTTGCATGACGCATAGATCCCTGCATAACCTTTTCCATGAACGCAGGGGCGTGACAAAAAATAGTATGTGTGGCTCGCGCGGGAAGGCCATTTCAGTCTTGTGCGAAATGCGGCACTCGCCTACGGCTCGTGCCGCACACGACGCCCGCGACTGAAATGGCTTACTTCCCGCCCTTGCCACACAATATACTATATAAGTAATATTAACAGTAAGTCAGTAACCCTTATAACATTTCCGTCTATAATATAGTTATATTATATTTTCTGTGAATATGCATTATAATAATAATTATTATAAATTATTATTTACTAATACATACATTTAATATTTTGAATTTTTTTATAAAATTAAGTTTTACAAAATTGAATTTATTTTAAACCTGTGGCTTAGAAAAAAAATTAACTTAACGTGGCAATAAAATTAATTGAATAACATAAGAAAAAAAGTAACTTAGTTAAAAGTAACTTAACTTCAACTTATTAACTCGTTAATGCCCAGCCTTGTTTTTTGGACTGCAAATCCAATTTTTTGATTTTTATAGAAAAAAATTTGAAATTTGAAATTGTCCGTAAACAGGTCAAAATAAATCCAAATAATATTAATAATAAATTTTATCGTGTATAGAAAACTACAATATAAGCAACCAGTGAATATTTCAAGTATCTACGGTCATTTGTTTTGGAGTTACACCAAAAACCAAAATCTTATATAAAAGTGAAAAAAAAAAGGCGAAGAGGGCTGTTCAAACCCCATGACCCCCCCACCCCCCATGAGTACGCCCCTCTAAGACATGATATAAATTTAAATATATATTAATTAAGAAATTGGATCGTGTTTCGCTGAAATTATAAAAACAACTAAAAATCTATTCACAGGTAATTGCATTTTTTTATTTTAATATTACAACCAATAACACAGTAGTGTTTTAAAAATTAATATACTATAAGTTATTTGTTCAATACGATGTTTATCAATAAATCATATTATGGTAAGTGTATATTATGCAAGCTATATGTTCAAATAAGGATAAAGTAATCTGAGAATCACAAATAACAAAATATCAAATGTCTACGTTTAAACTCTACCCAAAAACGAACTCCAATTTAATAAATCATTATTCGTACCTGATCGTATGTGTGATAATCGAGGACATTCTGCCACTAGTTCTATCGAGTCAGCAGATCCACAAGAAAACACAATCGAAGTCAAGTTCAACTTGCATTCCTCGCTGGCGACTGTTTTACTGCTCAAAATCCGTCGGCCTTTCCTTTTGACTCTGCGCAATATCACCTCGTCGTCGTCGTCGTACTCCGATTGCCTCTCGAATTCCTTGCTAATGTTCTTTCTGGACCTCACCAGACTTGGCAAGTCAGGCTGTAACTTCTTGTACGTCACACTCCAATCGTCCGATGATTTCTCGTAGTGTTCGGAGGAGTGACGTTTGGGCGAAGGTGGTGACGTCGTAGTTAACACAATAGATGGATGATTGTCGGAAGTTAACAAGTCCACCGGTAACTAAAGACAAACGTAAATATTGAATACTAGTAATTTTATTAGAGATCGAAATGTTTGTAGGGAATAAGCCGTTTTTTTTATTCAAAGCCCCCAAAAATACGAGAAAATCGGAGGACTTAAAAATAGTACATCTCTGGAAAAACATGATTTAAAGAAAATTTAAAAAGGAACTTCCAAGAAATTTAAAACTCATTTATGCTTAAAATAATTTATAAGTATAAAAAGGCACAATTAAAAAAATGGACAGAAACAAAACGTTATTTTAAATTAAAACAATTTCTAGTAATAAATTAAACTATATTATGACCTACAAAGTATACGGACTAACTTGAAATTGCTTAAGCTTTAAAATTAAATCCAAGCGTTGAATAATGATTGCACTAGCGTTTTCAGCATAAAAAAAAAATACTCAAGTTGGAAGAAAATTAACCTCAACAAAAAAAAAGGTGGGCAAGTGGGTGTCGCTCTGCTGTACAGTAAGTTACAAGTGGGTCACTGTATAATGGATGATATTAAATTTGAATTCAACGATATAATATCATTGTATAAGAAAAACGATTCTGAGCGGAGACGGTATGTCAGTCTAGGTATAAGACATATTATTATATCTTTGGTATTAAATAAAAATTTGACCTATAATAGGTACCTATAATGAATTCAAAATTAATCGTATCACAATATCCATTAGGTACATATAACGCGTTTTACACCAACAACAAACTCTGATACTATCATAGATATATAGTAGTATACTTTAGAAGTTTCAAGTACCCACGAAAAATATTATACAATCACAACAAAATAACTAAAATAGTTATTCTAGGTTTTTTATTATGTAATTTCGTCCAAATTTGAATTTAAAATGTCTGTAAAAAATAACTGTGTTCATATATATTTTAGATTTTTTGGTTACAGTATGAACTATTTATGAGAACCTTTTTTTTAAATTTGCAATCCTTAGCTATAAAAACTGAACATTTTATAATTTATTAATTACAATGATTGATAATTTTCGAGATTTTGATAAATGTTGCCAAAATTCGATCTATAAAAGCTTATAAAAAAAAATTGTGCCTATGTATTTTTAATATTTTTCAACAGATATTGTAACAATATATCAGGAGCCTTGTATTACATTTTTACACTTTTTGGCCCAACAGATAAAACTTTATTGATATTTATAGAAAAAAATAAAAAAAATTGAAAACTGAAAATGTCCGTAAACAGCTCAAAAAAAGTCAAAATATTTTCAAAATTGTACAGTGTATAGAAAATGCTAATATGAATATTCGGTGAAATTTTCATGTATCTACAGTTATTTGTTTTTGAATTACAACAAAATAAGGAAATCGCTACATGAGAAATCGAGTGAATATCCAATGTTGTAAAAATTTGAATTTCAAACACTCATAAAAATTTAATTTGACTTTCTTATAGACATTTTTGTTTTGATAAAGGTAGATAATCTAATAAGGAATTTTGTATTACATTTTCAAACCTTAGATTTAAAAAGAAAAATTTTTACGAATTCTTAACTCAAAATAATTTGCTAATTTTCGTGATTTTTCCATATTTTGTCAATTTTTGAACTTTAAATGCTTATAAAAAAAAATTGTGACTAAGGATTTTTAATATTTTTCATCTGCCTTTGAAACAATATACTAAGAGCCTTCTATTAAATTTCCAAGCTTTCGCAACCAACAAATAAAATTTTATTGATATTTTTAGAAAAAAAACTAAAAACAAATGGAAAATGAAAATGTCCCTAAACAGTTCAAAATAAATCAAAATATTTTGAAAATGTTATCGTGTATAGAAAATGCAAATATAAACAACCAGTGAAAATTTCATCTATATACGTTCATTTGTTTTAAAGTTACACCAAAAACCAAAATCGATTTTTTGGAAAACCGATTTTGCGTAAAAATTCCCGTTTTTCCTTAATTTTTATGTTGTTTTTCCAGGTGCTTGTGAAAACTACTAGGAAATGTTTACTTTTGATCCCCCAAAGTACCAACTAGATTCACTTTCCTATTAGAAAAGCTACTGTTGAAGAAAATCCAAGCACTTTTACTGTCATAAAACGTGATGACAAACACAAAAAAAATTTAAAATAAAAAAAATAAAAAAAAACACACATCATTGTAAAATCAATACATTCATCGTTTCACTCAGAATCTAAAAGTTGTCTAGTAACATAGAAAATAGAAGGGAATTAGTATTTATCTACAATAGTCGGTTCTTCACAGTAATTATATGCCGTATTCAGAAATCAAAGGTATAATCAAACCGGATATTTATTTTTTAAATTTCACGATTAAGTGTTTTTAAATGTTAAATCAATACTTAAAGATAAATGTAGACAACTTTTTTTTTTAAATTTCCATTTTCCCAGAAACAAACATGGGTTTCCCCAAATTTTTTTCATTTACGTTTATCATTAATTTTAATATATTGGCTGTTTATATTGTACTTACATTTAGATTTGTGTTACTCAGTAAAATCGAAGATACATCGTTCCATGAAATACTTTTGCTGACTTTTTTTATCGTGTAAATTCCTTTATAAGGGCAATTTCGAAAGTCTGACTTGGAAGCTATAAAAAAAAAACGTAATCTACAGTTTCACAGTTTTAATACAAGAATATAATGTAATAAAAAAAGTATATTCTCAAATAAACTTAGAAGTGGGTTTTTGGAAAATCACTAAAAACAACTAATATAATATTATTAAGATAGCAAATAACAATTTGTATTTTAAACTTTGAGATTTGATATTTACACAAAAATGAATTGTAATATTGCATCATAAAAATATAATTTTACTACTTATTTATCCAAAATATATAATACTACAGTAAAAATATTTAATTGTTGAAATTTCATTTATGATCCACTACTTCTATATACCTAGTTCGATAAAAGAAATTCAACGTTATTTAATACAAATAAAATCAAGTTTACAATGTTATTTTTTTTAGTTCAATATCATGTCCGATTCAATTTGTATCAAATTTATTTTATCGGAATCTGCTAAATAAATAACGTTCTAACACGTCAAATCAGAGAAAACAAACTGTTGTTTGTGTAAAAATTACTACTTTGGAAAATGTAATAAAAATTTTTTTTTTATGTCATCACAATAGAATTACAACAGTATATAGATGATGTTTAAAGTCAATTTCAAACACAGGAGATTCGATTTAATATTTAGTATGAATATATAAAATATATTGTATAATACGATAGCTCCTTGAACAGTTTTTTTCCTAGAGTTCTAGTAAAATAATAATAATAGAACCTAGTAGCAAAAAAAAAAAAAATAGTCGGTTAACTAGATTTTGAACTACGACGCTTGATATTCATCGTGCGTAGGTACTGTATTATTTGTAAACACCGCATTCCCTGCAGTCTATCAGTATTTGTTTTAGAAGGTTAACGTGAAATTGCACTCGGTCTCTCGGCAAACACTTGAAATATTTTTGCAATCAACGACTTACCCACTAGCGTAATTGAATCCGTAGCGTGCGCATCAAAGTTGGGGGAGTTACACGCGTCTTCCGGTCTCCTGCTCGGCTGACCTTATTTTGGAGGAAAAAAATACCGTATTTTTATTATTATTTTACTGATATTGTGCTGACCCACATGGACCGTGTCTGTGAGGGCGCTGGTGACTTACCCATTTGAAGTTCTGCCAAGTCGTGCGCCCTACGGTGGAAGTCCAAACAAATGTATCCGCTTTGGCTGCTCGCATACGGAAGAAAGAAATAAAACAACGACAACATAATGTATTAATGTACCGGTTGAACGTGAGAAACGTACGAATCGTACGGAATATAAATTATTATTATTAGTAATGAGAATTTATAGCGGCCAACATAAACATTTTCTGAGTTTGAACTTAAATATTGTATAGGTACAAAGGTACATACAAAAATAATCTAAGTAATAGATAAACAAAGACATATTAAAAAAAATGTCTGTTAATATCATAGAAACTGTATTATATTTCTTAAGCGGCCGCGGCATGTCGCATGTACCTACTGTCGAAAAACGGAAAACAATTAGTATCGATTTTTTTTTTAAATCACTAAAATATACAAAAAAAAAATAATAATATGTCAGCTATATAATATATCTAAAATGGATATTTATCTAATTAAGTTGTAAACAGAAGACGTGGAAAAAAATGTGTGCAAATAATCATATTGTAACGACTTCGCATCCCTAATATTATTGTATTATATTGTTGTTTACCATCCAGTAACGTAGTGCGCCATCACCCTGAACCTGTGAGGTATCTCCTCCATTTCCTGCTGACAGGAGAATTTCATCTCGTGTCCGGGCAGAGGTGCCACCAACGGCTGATTGTAAAAGAACTGGTGTGAAGCCTGTATAGTCTGCGCGGCGAACACACGATCTAACGAGCTGGACACCAGCTTCAACGTATTGTTGTTGTGGTGATGGAGGAAAGTGAACGTTTTACCATGATCCAACGTCCGCCATCTCTGGTTTTCGGTCAGCCACAACGGGAAGCTGCATTTCGTCTCAAAAGTCTCTGTGTGAAAATTTAATAAATGAATCGATTTTAGGTAGGTACCGAAAACTTCAACATTAGCTGACGTGGATTACCGAATACAATCCACCATAGTTATCGTTGAAATATTGCAACCAAATCAACCAAACTCTTTCATTCATCCAAATTTAATAATTGACGAAAGAAAAATTACTAAATTAATTTATATTTTTATTTGAATTGACTTATTTTTAACTTTCTTCTATATTTCGAACGAACTTGAACTCTATTTTGAAAGCAAATATTCCTTCAATCCGTCAAATTAATATCCAATATCAACAATTTGTATTTGTTATGTGATTATCAAATAAATATTTTCTATTTTGGTTTCATTTTAAGTAAATAAAGTATATTTGGTATGAGTTACCAAATGTCATATATTTAGATCATGGATTTTTATGTCCACATTTTTCAATATTTTGTTTGACAATAGAATAGTAAATCAAATTTCACGAAATTAGTTGAATTTTATGTTTATTGACTACCAACTAGTTAATTTTAAAATTAATATTTCAAGTTCATGTAAGGACGTACCTTTTTTCAATATCATAGTCCTGGACCCTTCGAGAGGACTGAAAAGGCCACTGCATGTGGCGTCGCCGGACTGTGCCACTCTGTACTCGACGTCTCCGGAAGCACCAGAACCTTTCAGTTGTCTTTGAGATGTCGTTCGCTCGTAAATGAAACACTTGAACCGGTCTTCTGTTGACATTGGTATACCGTTGCTATGGTGAACCCTACCCACAAGAAACCGGTACGAACCCTCTTTCCAACCGGCAATGCATTCAACTTCTTCGACTAAACATTATACATATTATATTATGAATTGGACATTAAATTATAATTATAAGCAAACTATTTTAATTCAAAGGAATAGCTAAATGTTTTGAGACCACTGTAAAACACTATAAAGTACCTATAATTACTATATTGTTACTAAAATTATTATCAATATTATAAATTAGCTTATTATTTAACTGTGTAACTGAACATATTTCGAAATTATTGCTATAAAAAGTATATATTTGGTGATACATAAAACATTATTATGATATTAATATATAAATTATTATGTTTAAGTTTAAGTTTAATGAAACAAATCATTTTTAATAATTTGTTAAAATTCATTTGTGAATTATGTGTTATTTGTTTTATTTTATTGTGATTAAGATACATTTTACATTTACACAAAAATCACAAAAATCTATGGAAATTATTCAAACAACCACGTAATTTGTAGTAAATTATATTGTATGGCATTTCAAATAATCCTTTACATAATAATAATAGACTTATTATTGTATGTTAAAACTATTAGACTAGTAATTTGGTCAGTCGAGTCTTTATTAAAGACCTTAATATAGTAATCATGTACTTAAATTTAGTTTGAATTCTATAGTAGAATGTAGGAATATAGTATGAAGTCGATACTAAAAGTGGATTGCTACATATCACGACATTTGCGGGGAAGTCTACAAATCCGGAATTAGGTACAGTGGTCATTTGATGATTGTATCTGAATGTAATATTAACATTTTTGCGGTTTTTCGTCGTCGATCAAGCGTGGTTTTAGGTAATTTCGGTAGAAACAATAATAATTATATAATACTAGTGGAAACTAAAGTTTGCGGGCACGCGCGTCCTGAAGCAGCAGGGTTAAAACGCTTCTCATGTCGTGTTTTTCGCGTGCGGTTTCAGAACCTTAACTCGCCACAAAACGCGGTCGATGTGGTGACATAGTAAAATATGCGAACAGTCTGAAAACTCAAAAGATAGAGTGGGAAAGAAAATAATAATAATAAAACGTACTATAATATAGTATAAATATGTCCAAAATAATATAACGTACCTAGGTAGGTTATGTAATTTATAGTACCTACTACCTACGAGGATACGAGTGCGTTATGAGTAAAGTTGAAAATGTGGACATTGTTGTTTAGTTTGATAAGTATAATAATAAATTAGATTAAAATTGTTTTTTTAGAAATCAAATAATAATGTCGTTTGTTTATTATATTTGACTATACTAAGTCTATATTATGGTTATGAATATAACGTCGTGTCATTGTGTAAATCTCGAAAAATGTTCTCTGGCCATTAATTGACAGTACCTATATAATTGAGCACGCAAATACTGTTGGTATTCGACAACTAACGTATGCTATAAATACTATATAGTAGCAATAGCGATGTCTTGTCGTTTGCATTACTAATGAACGTACACTCGTAAAGGTAACGAATTTATGTTGTACCTACGAGTTATCACATATTATTATATTATGTTGGTCGTTTTTTCGAGAATAGTAATACTGCGATAGTGTACTGGCGTACCGCTCTATTAGGTACTCAATAAGTTTCCAATGTTTCCATATAATTATTTTAATTATTGAACAATAAATAAGATTGATAGAGCAACGGAGATTCTTGTACACGAATGTCATATCTATTATGATATAAAGATCGCGATAGGGCGGAAATATACCCTTTTTTGTTGTGAATACATATTTTAATTTCCTAAATTTAAATATCTTGTTCATATTTTTTTTAACATTGGTTGTATCTATTACAAATTGTTTTACTCGATAATGATCAATGAAATAAATATTCGGCAAGAAATATTTTTCTGTCTGATAGTGACAGACGTCGTTTTTAATTCTCAAACAGTTGTTAAATCCACCATCGTTAATAATCGTCGTGCGAAGAATATTTTCGTCCAACAATTATTGACCAAGTAACTTCGTTCATGGACCACATTATGATAATTGCTATAAATTATAAATAAAGTATTATTATATTCATTATAAATACTCACGTGCGCTTTCCGACCCTTCGACATCCGGACAAGCCTGATACCGGATCAACAGCCTCGAGTCCTGGGTACAAGCCTCTACCGTGGAAACGGGATTCCTACAGTCACCATGACCGCGGTTGTATGTGAACGTATACGGTGGCTTGAACGGGCACTGCATGGGATTCCCGGACTCCCGAAACATGGAGTAAAGGAGAGCGTCGCCGGTAATCAGTGGGCAGATGGTTTTCAGCGTGCCCATTTCGTTGCAAAATGCTGTAAATCGTCGTCGATCGTGCAATGAGATTGTAATAACTGTTGTGTTTACTTCTCACAAGCTGCTAGTTTACTATAAGCGGATAACACAAGACAGTGCAAAGGTCCCTCCTCCCACTATAGTTTAGGTTTTATTATTAATTTTTGACGTCTCATAAATATTCGGTTGATTTCAAAAAAAAATTTAAGTGATCAGTGACCATTGTCATAACTTGGACTTTTCCAGTAAACTTGAAGAATTATGAGTAGAATTATAATAAATATAAAACAGTGGTTAAAACTCATAATTATATAGTATCTATATTCTATAGTTAATTTTGTATTTTATCACGATGTTAAATTTACGTTTTTTGATTTAATAATTTAGTAGACAAATACATACATAACGCGTCTATAATTGGCTTACCAATTACCACTGATCTGGCACACTGTATAAGTGATTTTCTATTACTATACAGTGTGCGTTAGGTAAGAAAAACGTTTAATATAATAACTATTTACCTAATTAATCATTATTGGCAAAACTTGATAGTTACACACAAAAAATCTATTATGGTAAATGTTCAATATATTATAAATAATATTACTAATAACTACTAGGTACGTTATTAACATAGGTTTTCAGACCCTACAGCGGTCCATAGTATTTTGAGACTCCAATTGTATTAGTGTATTATGTCTGGGCTTTACGTCGTCAAAAAATTGTCCAATTCCCACACAAACGCCCACCAGATATTATATACTTTTAGCCCTCCTCCTACTCCTTCTCTCCCACTAACCCCTCCCCAAAAGATCCTTTCAGTCATAACCATTACGACCACAGCGATCGCGTACGCACAAATACAAATTGAATCGCTTGTCCGGTTTACGGTCCGATAAACATCGTCTTCATCGATTGTTTCGCGTATATAATAAGCACAGGGGATAGTACACCTAAACATATATATAATATATAATATATATTATATACATATAACCATACCTAAGATTTTTCTTGGCAGCTATGTTTCCCAGGGACCTGCACCTAAACCCGTCCGCCAGTCCCGCATACAACAATACATATGTCAATATAATAACTCGGCGACTTACTCTCTTTGTACTGGAGAACGTTGTGATGTTTCTCGTGAATGACCACGCACCGGTAACACGGCTTTTTCCTGCGAAAACACAATAAACGGATGGCTGAAATAGATATTATATATTGTATAATAATATTAAATGTATTATTATTATTATTGTCGTGGCCATATTTCTCGTCGTATGGGGCCGTATCGCACGATATTATCAAGCACAACACTAATAATAATAATAATAAATAATAATAATAGAATGACTATGTATTATTATAGTCGTCCGTCGTCCTAATAAGGTGCAATACGCATCGAGAAAATCGCTGGAAAAATATACCTATGTATATACCTAGGTACATTCTCGGGTGATCGCGATAGCGTTCGATTGAAAAAGGCATGAAAGAAAGAGAATATTACATAGTTTGTTCTTGTCGTTTTCAGCGGTATTATCGGGTTTTCTCAAAATCACGAAATACCATTGTTTATTATAATAATATCAGCGAAACGATACGTAATTTTATCAAACGCGCTTCATTGATGATATTATATTATAGTTACGTGAAGGAATATAAAACAAGTAACGTCCTCCAGGAAGCTTATGTTACACGAAATTCGATTTCGATCGGCTTTATAAGTATTTAGAAAAATGCACTTACAGCGATTTTAAAATCAGTTTCAATCAAACGCCCCATGGCGACCATATTGTATTCGTTTTTAAAATCATTAACGCACGTGTACCCCGGGACAAATGTATTGGAATCGACAGAAGGAATTGTTAAAGCGAAATGCGTTTTTATCGAGTGAAAAATCGAAGGAGGAACCTAATACCCACTCCTCCCCGCCTGTCTTATATGATAGCCGCACCCGCGCGTATATATAATGTATAATATAGAATATGCATATTATTATTTTATCATATATGTATATACTTATATATTATACTAATATATACTCAACGATAATGTTTATACATAGTATAACAGGAAGACCTGACAAATGAAATAACTTTTGTTCTATCTAATTAATATTTAAAATTGTATTTTATTTGTAATAAATTAACTCATGCTCTACAAGTACAATTTAGCATTTTTTATTTTTTTGAATACTGAAAATTAAAAAAATGATTATTAAAAATTTCAGCCAATTTGCCTGATTTTTAGAAACCTTTTACTGCAGTAAAATCAATTATCTAAATTAAGTGGTTCATTTTTTATGCGGTTTTAAGATGTCAAATGTTTTTGAAGTAAGACTCATTCAATTAAAAAGTAGTAACTTTTCAAAAAAAATAATTTAGATTTCATCAAAAATCTATTTAAAAATTCTCATAAAATATTTGAAAACAATTATTCTTTTGAATATAAATGTTTTTCCTAGATGGATAACTATATTTTACTAAAATATAAAAATTTAAAAAAATATGAAGAATAAACTACAGACTTGAATAATCATTTTTGTAAACATTTTTATTTTCAGTATTAAAAAACTAAATAAAAATTTGATAATATACATGTAGCACGTAAATTTAAAATAAAAGGTTTTATATTAATTAATTAATATTGAATAAACAAAAGTTATTTAATTTGTCAGGTCATCTTGCAACGCTGTGTATTATTTATAACTATAGGTCCTGAGTGTAACAGAAATAACTAATAATGATTTTTGTTATGGTAATAGTATATTTTGAAAAAAATCTATACTTAAACTATACACATTTTTTTCAAAATATTGAAATTAGTTTTTATCAAAAGTTATAAAATAATTACTAATATTTATCAATTCTTCCAGTTATATTCTGCAATATTATAGTATAAGGTTTGGAATTATATTATATGTAAATGCAAAATGTTTATATTAAAAAAAATGTACAACATATTTTGATCATTGATAGTGTTACATATGTTTAAAAGATTTTGAATAAACTATATGTCCAAATTTACTTTTACATAATATTTAGTTATAATACAATATCTACATGTTTTTCTATATTTCGTTATTTCTCCTAGTATACAAAAATATTAAACTAAATGGTGTTTCATATTTGAATGCATCGATGTCAACACGACTTTTTCATATTTAAAATGATTATTTGCAATGATTTTATTCCGCGTCTATATATTAAACAACTCGTAGATCCAAATTTATAATAATATTGTTTTTACACTCAGGTAATAAATTGTTAAGTAGGTTGCAATTTGTTGTGAACGACTTTAGTTTATACCTACGGCAGACTTATTTTTGAGTTTACGAATACTGTGTATTATACATATTATTATTAAGTTTTTAAATGTATGAACGATTCAGAATTTTTCAATTTTCGTACATGTTTTAATATTTTTATTACACATCATTTATTTATGGATTTTGAATTTTTAAATACATATAAATCCGAATCATACCTATATAGTATATATAATATATATGAATATATTTTATTATTATTATTATAAGGTTAGACGAGGCAAACATATACAGATATATAACATTTATATACGTGTTGGTGTGTATATTTAAGGGCTGAAAAATAACGATGGGACCGTGAGACGATCCGTTTTACGATTATCGTTTTCCATACTCGACACGCCATGCACGGCGCGCAACCCGATTCATCTTACACCACTATTGACTTCTCCATAAATAACGTAATGCTCCGATGAACATAAAATCCTTTTGGCGTCAATCCACCTAAGTATATTATTATTATTATTATTTTTTTTTTTCAATAAAACCAAGCTTAGTATAATATTATATTTCACGGGCCTTAACTCTCCGCCGATTTAACTCTAAAAATAGTAAAATTGGGTTAAAGTATAAAATATATTACTATTATTGGTAGTTTTTGAGTTAAATTTTATTAATTTTAGTACTTTTTCATTTATTATTATTTCGCATAATAACGTCCACTCGTGGCTATATATAAAAATGAAATATTGTTGAAATGTTTATTCGTGATTATTAATATTTTTTGTAATAAACTCAAACACCTCCAAATGAAAATGTTTTCCAAAAGTTTCGAGTTGTGACAAATTAAAATCGGTATTTAGATTATTAACCGAAGTTTGAATCTCCGTGGATCTTATATTATTATTTTTTCTACAAACAAACTATGAACATAATATTATAACTACTGTTATCTAATACGCGTACTGTATCATTATAATAATATATTATTGTGAAACATGCGAACCAGATACCGTCGTCGATCCGGTGAATAACGGAAATTAATAGCCGCGGGAAAGTTATCGATGTCTCGCCGGGACATATTTGTCAAACAAGTTTTTGGTTACTGGGTTTGGATATCGTTATGACAACAACGCTGAGTTCAAAAAAGTTAACACAGCGTGCAGCAGTGCGCCCGTGGCACTTACGTACACATCTCGTCCGTTGCAAAGGGAACTACTGTGTTCTTTGAATCCCGCTTACAAGTCAATAGATAAAGAAAACTTTATCGCCTTCGATGACATTTACCGCGAATATAACGTATACATTATATTAATATGGGACTTGGAGGTTTTCAAAAGGGGTGCTCCAAGAAACTTTGTACAAATATTTAATGAGAGCGTTTCACACTAAATCCTTAATATATTGGTGGTACTCTATAATTTCATTGATTTAGAGAAAAGCGTCCTTGTTGTTAACTTCAAGCTATATTATTTTTGTTTCAACGATCACAGTTATTATTATTAACACGGGTATAGGATGCGTAAACTTAACACTATATTATATTAAAAAGTTAAAAATATGCAACATTTTTATTTGTTAGTTGGTACTTAATATTATTAGGTACCTATTATAATAATATTATACTAAATTGTCGGGATGGGATATTATTATAATATACACATTATGAACTTATTTAATTAATTTTCATACCTTCAAATTTAGATGCCTATTTAAGTATATATTATTACTGTTATAATATTAAACATTAAGATAATATTTATTTTGTAAAATTGCATGTTAAGTAGGTATAATGGATTTTTAATTTAATATAATATTTGAGTTTATAACAGAATTTTAGTAGTACAACGATAAACGTCTTATTCGTTCTTCATACTCGCAGACGTTTTACTTTCACTTTGATTTCAGAAAAAATTACTTTGTATTTATAAAGGATTTTCATTGAACGTAAATGATTTAAGTTTGGATAATTATCAAATTTTGAAACATAAACTGTGGTTTTTTAAATTTCATATTGTTAAAACAAGAACATAGAAGTTATTTATTTATTTTTTTTATTAGTTAACCCGCGGCAACTTAGGCCATTGGGTGGTTTTTAATTGTGTGGGTTACTCTAGGTTTAAACACGTTACACGGTAGGCAGATTTTTGGTGGGCGCCCCCTAGGTATCTGCCAAGGTATCTGCCATGCCCGGGTAGAGGATGGCGACACTTCTCTCCGGACACCGTGACTTTCCCGAAGAAAAATTCCACCCGGTAGAGGGTTTGAACCGGCGTCGGTGAGCGTCGAAACCGACGCCTTAGTCCGCTCGGCCACTCCGTCCCCCAAGAAGTTTTTATATCTTTAAAAAAAACACAACAAAATATGTACCCAAAATAAGAAAATATGCTTTTATGCACTAAAAAAAATTTTTTTTTAATTTATCTATATTATCATACTATTTATTTCATACTGAAAAAATAATATTACATTTCCCACTTGTGTTGTGTGCACCTTAGTGCATATGTACATCATAGAAGATTGGTGTCAGCAGCTCCCATTTGTGCTGTTCAGTTTTAATATTGTGGATTGATCTATTATCAAATTTAAATCTAAGAACATTACATGTTTTTTAAGTCTGGTTTCCTCGATATTTTTAGTTTTAATGAGAGATATGACTATATGAGATGTCAAATATAAACATTTAAAAATGTTCATCCTAGTGAGTACCTAATAAAATATCGAAAAAAACGGTAAACGGACAGTTTGTTACTATCTATTGTTTGAGTTGCATATCGCGGACACTTTGTACGGTGAAAATAATTTGGTAAAAATCGATCGCGGACGTTTTGTACGGTATAAATAAACCGGGAAATATACCTTAAAAGATGAGATAAAATTAATGCTTAAAACTTAGATTGCGAATCATGATCGCGATTAGTATGAGACATGTGTATGGTGTCACAGGCCACAGCATTAAAAGTATTAAAATATTAACTTATTCACTATATAAAATGAACAAAAATCAAACTAGCAAACTCAATCCAAACATTTTTAAAAATGGGTATGAATATACTATTTTAAGAAAAAATCAATCTAATATTCGTTGGAAGTGTAATAAAGTGACGTGTACGGGGAAGTACAACCAACCTTAATGAACCGGTGAGTTATAAGTTAAAAATCATATTATTATCATAATACCTAAATCATATTATTATCATATTTTTGATAGTTCTTTTACTCCAGAACTATTTCCATTTATATTTTATTTTGAATCAACATATATTCAACATATAATCCAAGTTTCTGGACTGTTTTGCGGTCTTTGCAATTAGACGAATGCTCTAGTCATTTGAACAAAAAACAAGCAATCAAAAAAACCAAATACACAAAAGAAAATTCGTGATGCCTGTTACAGCATGAAAGTAAAAATATAACTAATTTACAATGCTCGAAATAATTTGCCATACGTTTAATTTTTAAATATATATATTACGTATATAAAATATATACCACGAATTTATTACCATAAATATTATTATTATTTTTTTTTTTATATATGGTAACTATTGTTGTTTGTAATACAAATTAAACATTTTTTTTAAATAGTACAAACTGTCCGCCCATGTATATTTATTACTTTTTGAAATAGTACAAATTGTCCGCGGTTTTCATTTTTTGTGGGTGACCGTACAAAGTGTCCTACAACCCGAAAAAACACGTTCCTACATTTAAGTATGATAATAGGTCAATATACCACCCTAAATCCGGGTTTATACTACACCATGTTGTGCTGTGTCGTGTTTCATATTATATTTAATATGTAGGTAAAAAATGTCGGGTTACATGTTACCAACAATTTCGATATTTGACTTTACCACTACATGATATAGAGTCAACCCGGCTTATTGATATTAAAACTAATAACATAAAATTTGAACTGTTGAACGGAAATAAGCTACCTAGGTATTTTTTACGTTTGTAACTTTGTAAGATGGAGACAACATATGCTAGCGTGGCGTATTTTGCTTTCAAAACTCACCATATGTCGTGTAGGATTGAATATATTCAATTTGTAGATAACGCAATACCAACATTTTGTTACTTGCATAATGAAAAATGAATTATAATATACGAAGCACGACACAATACGGCGAGTTGCGAATGAACCTCACTATTATTAAAAAAACAATCAGTTATATACGGTGATATAATTTATAATCATTTAATTGTGCTTTTAAGGACAATACAATAAAATTAGGTAGGTAAATTTGTTTCGTAAGTAGTTTTTGCATAATTTATTTTCTTGACATTTTAGAATATTACATTTTCACCAGTATCATTAATTGATAATGGGAATCACATTCCCAAAAAAAACGTTTATTTTCTTTACGTGCTGCAAGTTTGAAATTGTTATGTAAATACCTATAGATATTTGTATTTATTTCACCAAGAGAAATCCCACGTTTTTATAAAGTAACTACCTACCTACATCGCAATACCAAATGAAATGAAATATCGGTTGCTATACAAAATATATTATATTTAGTGCCTGCTGCAGCTGGTTTTGACGTACTTATTTTTATTATTTTCTACAAGAGGATACCATCGATACCTATTCATAAAAATAAAACGAATACATACCTATATAACAATATTGTTTACGAAAATACTATACATCCAGCAAGAGTTTGAACAGAAAAATTAAATTATTATAATTTTTGAAACGATATTAACGTACCTGTAGGTATAATCATGGTAATATTATGTAAGTGAGTTGCCATGTACCTATTACCAGCAAAAGATTACAGTACAACTACGAATTCCATATTATGTTCCCTATATAATAGTGTTTTTTTTTTATAATACTATTGCGATACATGTTGTTTTAATATATATGCATAATGCGTTCTGCTTAAAGAAATAACGTTGTCACTTATATTATAATAAAAGTCAGGCTTACAATAACTTAGCACAAATGTTCCGTCTGATCTGCATATAGTATTGTAACTGATGTTGCTCTTACAGTTGTACCTACGCCATGCCATACGCGTATTTGTGTGTGAAAGCCGTATTTATAATATGAGCACGCAAAATCATTAAAAAATGTATTATGTACAAAATACTAATAATTAGTATTATACATACTATAATGAAATATATTTTCGATAACGTCACAGCTCTATTATGTTACAAAGCGTCAGCGTTGTAACTAGTACTCAGTTAATCTACACATTTTAATTTAAGTTTTTCTAAGATTAATACAATGAAACCTTTATATTATATAGTGGACAGATGTGGGGAGTTAAGAATGGGCACTATCAAGAAGTTAAGAAAAATTATAAGGTATATACGTTTTACATACACCAACATATATTTATTATAATACACTTCTCTCAGATATTATTATCAGTAGGCACATTTGAGTAGCCAGGATTATAAAATGGAGGGGGGAGAGTGTTAAGCATAATTTAAACTTAATATGTTTTTTACAGTTTTCGTATATTATAAATACTATAAATAAATAAATACCTAATAGATTTATTAGGAGAAGAAATAGGCCACTAGAAGGGGTGTAAACACCCAAACCCCTCTGGATACGCCACTGTCAGTAGGTATATTAAAAGAAATTAATAAAAATTATTTTTCTTAATTTTCCATTGTATTATTCGTCGTCCCGGTTGAATTCGTCTTCGTTATAATTTAATCGTCTTTATTTTTAGTTCCTCTCAGCGTCTTCTATTAAGAGTGTCCACTATTCAGAGATCCTGTATCCTATTGTATTGTAATATGTATTTTTACTGGGGAATTTAAAAGTCCCTAACTTTTGTGAGAGATCTATGCATTGCGGTTTCACTTTATTATTATAAGTATAATATAATTATAGACGTATATCAAATATTATAATATCAGGCTTTGAGTTTAATTTTCCTATAAAACCATTTTTAAAGATTCTTAAACATTAATAACTGAAGAACATCAATCATTCGACACAAACTGTAACTTAACTTTTTCCTCGAAATATTTTTTAATCAGAATGGTAATATTATTTTTCATTCATTATAATATGTATATTAAATTAAATTTCAATAGGCATGGTGAGAAAGGAATATAGTAAATACAAAACTACTAAATCAAGCGACTAGTCGAGAAAATGTGTACAATTCCAGTTTTGTATATTTTTTATGACGTTGTAATGCAATAATACAATAATATTCATGATTGATAATTTTTTCAATTCTATAATCCATGACTTATATTCTATTACATACTCAAACGATGATTTATATCTGACAGGGTACAGTGGATTAGATGTGCGTATTAACAAGTAACAACACAAACATTATTATAGTATAATGGTAATAAATGGTAAAAGTTATATCATTGCCGCAGTACAATAAAACGATAATAATAACAACCTCAGTTACAGTATAATAGCGTATAGGTGTATATATGATCATAATTATAACATATTAATATTTAATATAACGTAATGTAAGCACAAAGTTTCTCAACTTACTCGTCAGATAGTAGAAACCTGTCACCGTCTGAGTCCACGCACTTGCCTTTGATACTGAACCGGTTGGCCTGCACGACAATCGACTGCCGGATACCGGACTGGAACCACACGCCCTCCCATCTGGTCGGGAACTTGCAACCCTCTACAAAACACACAGATATTCAATTACAGATAGTTGTATAATAACAATAATAATAATAATAATATGTAAAGGAGGTTTCCGTTGTTTTTTTTTTTTTTTAATTAACGTAATGGTAGCCCTGGGTCGACCACACAATGGATCGGTATCACGGGCGCACGCACAACCCTTCACCGTCATCGCCGCCACCAAATCCCCCAAAAATTATCTCGCCTGCTGTCACTTTTGCCGAGGAAATTATTTCCGGATCCGTTTTTGGTACGCAGTTTTAGGGCGTGATTGGGAGAACAGTGCAGGTGGTATAAATTACGACGGTCTGTGGGAAGTTTTTGCATCAGCGAGTACGTGCGCGATATTAAAAGGGCGCGCGAAATAGTTGAAAAAAAATAATAGGAAAACCCACCCCGTCCAAATGGAGTCACTAATGTCATCGAGTAGTCTTATCTGGAGCAAACTGTCAAGAGCACGTGAGTTGTTCGGCGGCATTGAAAAAATACTCACTACCGCCACAATCGCCGCTGCGACATATATATAATATATATCATACACAATAAATTGAAACTTAATCTATATTATATTATATACTCTTATATAATATCATATATATAATATTTGTACTATTTTTGGTGGAGGTTTTCTGGATATTTTTGGCATACCTCATCCTTGTTCACGACTGTATCAGATAAGTAATTCAATTCAATAAAACTAATGGAAAAACTCCCTTCAATCGTATTCTCCTTTTGACTGACAGACCGACAGGCCCTTTTCATGCACGGGTCACGTTCCGTAGTCTTCCCCGAAGAGAGTCTGTGTTAGGTTAAAAAAAATATATATAACCGCTAAAACCAATTGGCATTCCGCGTTCGTTACAACAACGACCGTTACCGTAAAATTTGCAATTAGCTTAATAAAATTCCACCAAGATATAAATACTCATTTTAGTACTGTACAATTTGGTAGGTAGTAGGTACATGGCGAAATTTAGATTAAGTTGATTACATTTTAGGCTTTGGAGATATTTTTTGCGTCTAAAGAAGAACCGATCTAGAAGAGGGTGTGCGTAGAGCTATATATATCTCATTATTCGACGTAAGGGGTTGATTTTGTCTGTACGAATGTAGACGTGGGGTTCTTGTTGGATAAATCGGTATCTCAGCCGAATTTCATTAAAGAGGGTTGTATATTCGCTCGTCAACCTGATTGATCATAAGCTCCATGGGAAAGAGCATAAACCTTTTATATACGGTTTGACTACTTCTAAAAGTGGGCAGTTTATCACTGATTTCTAAACATTGCTTTCAAAAAATAAATAAACAACCTAAGTCGATAGGATATTTTTCATATTTTTAAGCACATTTATAAACATATACAAATATAATATATAATGGAGGGTTATTTATTTTTTTTAACAAAATCTTTATTTCTTTACTATTTTACATTAGTTTAAAATTATAAAAGGAAACATTTGTTGAACATTTTGTGTTTTAAACTAACATCGGATAAATGGTTGGACGAATTGGAATGGTTTATTAATATTAATATAAAACTGCTTACTAGTTTATATTATTAAAGTAGATAGAAGAGTATTCTGAGAATAGTAGAGACATTTGTTCCTCTACCCAATTCTCCAAGTCTAAACTTTAAACTACTGTCTACTAGATAAGTGCTGGGTAAGCTTCAAATATATCCCAACGTTCTGTATTTATTATTTGGTTAAAAAATGCAATATTGTTTTTATCAAATATCTTAAACATTTTTATTTACTTGAAGTTATTTTAATAAATGTATAGCCAGTATTTCATCTCATCATTTAAAACATTCCTAAAATAGTTTATAATGATGTTTAAATATTTTTATTAAAAAAAATTATTTAATGTTTTCCTAATTTTAAAACTATAGACATTATTTATTTTATGTTGATATTATAAACAAAGAAGTCTATACTAATGTCTAATACGGAAATCACATAATTTTGATAGCTATAGGTATACGTAGTTGACACTGATCCAAACAACTTAATTTTACACCACTTTTTGATCTTATACCTACCATAAAATTAGGTACTTATTATTATATATTATTATATTGTTTACTTATTCACTATTTGCTATATGTCTCTTTAACTGATATCCATTAGCTGGCATACTCGAATGATTCTCTTTTTATAATATAGGTATTCATAGGTGTTAAAATAATTTTATTCTCATAAATAATTGAAGTACCCACTACTGACTACACTCTTGAAGATACGATTTCGTGTTGTCCACTTTATAGTAGTTTCTACATATTATTTTTCCAAAAATACAACAATTAACGTCATTGTTAATTATTCAAATTATTAAAGAAATTTGATAAAACTATTAAAGTAATAATTTTTCTTAGTATCTACTATTTAAAATTTAAACATGTTATAATAATAATATGCACGTGATACCCACAGTTCGTTTTATATTACTATAACACATTTTCAGAGGCGAATTGACTTTGAATTAGAATTTAATGATTTATTAAAAAAAAACATGAAGTTAAATTACATTTTAAATGTATGTGATAGCATAACATCGTATGATATACGCCATTTAAGATAGTAAAAATAAGAATAAAATATTATTTATTTGTAGATGTTCTTATTTAAATGATGTACAATTATATATTGTGTGATGATGAAAAAGTCATGGATAATGGAATATTGTTTTCTGTTTAAAATTATTAGACAAAGTTAATAAATTAATTAGTAAGGTATAGTTACTATACTATAGTATCAAACAACCATAAAACAACGTGTTTATCGATATTCATTCAAATTTATTGTTTTCGAATTAATTAATGTTTTCATTTTTGGAATAACGCCAATGTTGGATAGTACATACTGTATACACAATAAATAATAATATTATATAATGTAACAGTTTATTTATGTATTTATTTCATCTTTCATTAATTTAATCAATTAAAATTAAAAAAAAATTGTCTAACTTCAAAGCGTCCTTAATGAAATCCAAATATTAATGACGTTACGGGAAATTAATAAATAATAAGTTACCTACTAAATATTATTTACAGAATTTGTGAATTATGATAATTTATTTTGTTATCTTATAATATTAATTGTAAAAAGTAATTATTATTATTTTATTTTTTTCTAACAACTTTTGGTGTAGTATAAATGTATAATACATACCTATATATATTATAAAATGTCCCAAAACTTTAACAATAAATTATAACCAACTATATTTAACAGGATAAAATGTAATATAATATACACTGTGATAATTTAAACATTTTTAAATTTTAATTTGAAAGTAAAATAATATTGTGTACATTATGTGACATAAAGAAAGCTTGCAGCTGCCTTACAACATTATAAAGATATATTATAGGTACCACCCTAGCTACATCCAAACCTAGGTTTGGAACTGCGTAGATTAGGTTCCTGCTCACATAAATACATTTACAAAAATGTAATAGTGTTTGTACATGGATTACTACTACAGTCCGTCATTGTTAATGCTGAATAAAACCCACGTTATATAATATTATATAACGTACACAAAACGGACTTTAATCAAGGTTTACTAGGGAACGGCAGAGTTACGTTTATAAGTGAGCTTCAATAAAGTTTTTTTTAATAATATTTTTGTGGATTTCTCATATGGGCCATGGAAATAAAAACATATATAATAATATACTCTTTCTGTAATATTAATATTAATTCAATTGTAAATATTAGGTAAAATATTAATTAATAAAATATGTTTTCAACGTTAAGGTAAACTAAGTATATACACAGGAAAAATTATAAAGCTTAAATAATATAATTTTTTTAATTTATAATAATGAAGTCATATTTTTTTGGGGATTCAGTGCATAAAGAGTATAATAGTTCCGACTATTTAGATGAAATCTGTAAAACATGTATATGCATATTGTATGTAGGTATAGCTCACAGACGTGACAGAATCCTTTAAAGCAAAACATACATATTTCGATGGGTAATTATAATTTAAAAAGGTCTTGCAAAAAAAATTGTTCGTGGTCGTTTAAATAGACAAAAGAACAAAAGGAATAAAAGGCTTGTCCCTATATACATTGTTAGGGTTATCTTTCTAAGGTCTTAGTCCGATCTCCGTATATATTATATGAACGTAAGTATTCCTATGTATATACTACTACACACTATACTAAATGTGTATGGTAATTGAAGTCGGTCTAATTTTGTGTGTATAATAATAATAGGACATGATGCTGAGCAACTTGGGTAGATAGGTAGAAAAAAAAAGCGAAATTGAGTGAAAACAAAAAATAACTGTTTTTTTTTTGTTCTAGACAAAATAAACTCTTGACAAAGCAAAATAATAACAATATCGCGTACCTACTACTTATTCGGGTAAATTTTGAGCTGTAGCTTGATAAAATAAATTTAAATAAAAAAGAAGAAAAAAAGCGTCTATACTGAAATGCATAACAATATTATGTTATTAAATTATGTTTCATGTGGTTGATCTTTCTCGAAACATTCGTCGCGCTCAGAACGTATAAGTACCTACTGTACGATATGAACATAACATCACATCGTATATTATAATATTTATTATAATAACGCAATTCTGTGTACTAGGTGATCAACATTTTATGTTACATAAACGATTTTTGTATAATATAAATATGCAAAATAGAGAACAATTTACAATACTGAAGTGTTGTAAAATATAATAATTGATATATTATATTATTTTTAATACATGTAGGTAGTGTTTGTTGGTTAAGTTAAAATAGACTAGGTTCTTACCCACTCGAAAACATATTATTCAAATGTAAAATAATAATGTTTTTTTCCCCATTTTTAGGGTTTTGTTACATAGTCTTAACTATAAATATTATAAAACTATATTTTTACAAAACACTAACTTTCGAGTATTTTGTATCCATATTGATTTTTAGTTTAAATTTGTTTATTACTGACAACCAATAATTTTATTTTATAAATCGAAGCAGAATAA